CAGCTTAAACTAAGGCAGAGAAATCAATTAAAACAAGAGAGAAAATTTTTTTATCTCTCACTTCGCCTCATGTTAATTTATTCAAATCGGCTCTAATGGTGCCTCACGCTTAATTTGTTTGTAACTCGCCGTTTACTTTTATATCAGCCATTTATTGCGACAGTAAAACCTTTAGTGCTCCAGTTTTTATGGTTTTTTAAGCAGCGCGCCTAGCTCTTTCTTTTCTGCCGAGAGAAATATACGGTAGCAGAAGATTCGCAGCAGTGCGACATTTTCGCCGGTAAGCAACACCGAGGCAGATAAAAGTGTAAAACAGCATTCTCAGGTGCCAAGGCAGGTCGTTCCGAAACAATTAATTCGCCTTCTCTGTGCCTCGACGTGTGTTTAGCCGCAGCAATTAAATGGACTAGAGTTAATGGTCCTGCATGCGTCTCACAGAAAACTACTTCATTGAAAAATAGATTGAAATCTCGAGCTTCAACAAAAATCAGGACCATAAATATAATTGAAAAGTTAATAAATCAATAAATAATTTTAAAAAAAATGGGAAAACGGAAGGCTAAAATTAATGTATGCTAAATTTATTAATCTTCTAACTGTTAAATTAGATATATTTTTTTAAATATTTTAAATGGGTATTGTAATGTATCTGAAGGAAATGACTACTCTATTTACTAAATTAAAAAAAATTAAAATTTTTATTTGAGACGAATGTTAAAAAATTAAAAATTCATATTTGTGGTTATTATAATTCATTGCAGCGCATTGCAGGTATGGGATTTTTTTGTCACCTATTTTAAAAAACCGTTAAATTTAAATTAAAGTATACAATATTTCACCAGACTACTTGTCAACCGTATACGACTTGGCGCGAACAACCATTATTGCACAATGGGATACATTATTGAGTGTCACACATGAAAATTTATCACTCAACTCCTCACCCACGCCGCGACGGTGCCCAGAGCTCGAATAAATATATTCGGCCGAGCCTTTTGCGATTCGCGTTGCCAACTTTAAATATGTATTTATTTATCTGCTGCGCGCCAATAGGCCATGCGGATATAATATGACCACATAAAATACAACACATTCCACTTGGGCGGTACCATTTCTTCCCAAGAGAGCAGTTTCATTTGAATTCCAAACGAAACCCGAAAAGCACATTAGAGTGAATTAGTATGTGCAAATTCGCCACCTACGGAGATATTTTTTTTTTTTTAATTTCGCCAACCGCTGCCAACCGACCGTTACAAATGAGAGGCTTCCCGCTGATGGGAGAGAAAAATCGCCACTAATTGAAAGAAAATCATTTTCCGCTAATTCGTCGAGCGAAAGAATCAATTTTCCGGATGATCGACGGATTCGAATGAAAAAAAAAATTAGAGAGGTAGGCTGGAATATCGGCGGTGGAGGTATAATTTTGCGAAAATAATATACGATCCGGTCGTGATTATGGGTATAAAAGTCGCTCGATTGAACACGCGGAACTGGAAAAAATGGGTATCTGTCGGTCGGTGCGATCACAAGAAGAAAATTTGATGCAAATAAAGGGCCGGGGAAAATTATATTACACGAGAGGAATATTATTTTATGGATGGGAGAGAAATGTTCTCGTCTTATCTCCGCTTCGCTCTCGTCATATTCTCCCGGTATTCATTTCATTTCCCACGAACTTCGTCTGCTTCTGCTGATGGTGTAAAGTGGGTGTGGGTGTGGAGTATATCAAAAGACGAGCGTTTGCATTTACATTCATTCATAATTACACGGCGCGTTGTTGTTCTTGCGAGAGGGATGGAAATAATACCGCGAGAAAGCGTGCAAGACAAATTGGCCTGACGCTGCGAACTGCCAATTTGTGTTTTAATATTTCAATATCAGAGCCCGTTTCTAATAAGCTCTCAAATATTATTTTCTGTCGGATCCAGCAAAAGGTGCAATTATTTTCTTCGCTTTCATCGAAGGGGCTGATATAATAAATTGAAGAAGTTTGCTGGTGGGAAGATATTGAAACCGTTATGAAAATCAATATTTTAATATTTAGACATGAATTTAAATTTTTAATAAAATATTCCATAATATTGGCGAAAATTTGTCTCTTACGGATGCGCTCTATTGCTTTATTTTTATTTGATGTACAAAAAGTTGTGAAATTTATTTTAGTTTGATGTTTAATTAAAATCTTGTGTTGGATTGCTAAAATGCAATGAATGGTATATATTATCCTGAACAAACGCACGGTTAAAAAAAAGAATTTCATACGCTGTTTGTTTCAATTTTATAATTTTATTTTTAGCTTTTCAATTAAAAGCTACATTTAAAAAAAACGACTTGAAAAAGAAATTGATTTATTTAAAATCCTTAAAGCTTTACTGTATGAGCATTTTTAATTTTTTTTTTTTTTTTTTTATAATTTATTGCATCGAATATTTTAATGGAGGATTTCAACCAAATTTTAAGTAGCTCATTACTTGTTGAATGTTGATACCGAGAGACTTAAATTTCAAGAAACGCCATTTATTTTGGTGAGTATCAATTTCGCTGACTGAAAAAGTTGCCGCACTATCAAATTCCAGTGGCACTCTCGGCTCAACTTTAAACGATCTCCATACCCGACGTATGTTCTCGTTCATGACGTGAGTAATGAGCAAGAGTTAAACGAATCTGTGTACGGGCACCGCCGCTGATCTTATTTGCATTCCTGGCAGAGGCCAAGGCTGATTAGTGCTGATAAAACTCGCGTGCGCACATACAGTAGTGCGCCAAAATAATTGGCGAATTGCTCCGAGCGCGCACCGAGAGAACCAATTTAAATTCCTCCAATCCGCGGCTCCCGCGGAACGAGTGTTTATTAAATTTACGCTGGTTGCTGGAATTTCCGATCCGAATAAGAGAAGAGCGGGAAAATGCTAATGGGCGAGCGAAACGCCTCACTAACTTAATGCTCTGTCTCATCCGGCAAATAACACACGTCGACGTGAATTAGCATTACTGCGCTCAAATACACGCCGTGAATCGGCAATGAGGCAGTATAATGCTCTTTCTCTCGAAGCGCCACCACTAATTCAAGCAGGTCTCTCATCCTTCTGGATTTAATTCAAACACACAAGCAGTTCGACTTGAGCAGAGTTTGCTCTTTTGTCACCACGCTGTAAAAGTAATTTTAATTTTCTTTGTGGGGCCATGTTCTAAAGAAAAGATGATACTATTCATAAATAAATAAATAATTTGTACCTCACATTTCAAAATAATGTTAATTATTCTGCAGTTAGAAAGCTGGAAATTAAGTGACGTTCAAATTAACATTAAATTAGCACCATCTTATTTTGTTAACATTTTTGTAAAAAAATTTTATGTCCTTTATATTGAAGCAATAACTTAATCGTATTAATTCATTTTGAAATATATTCATTAATTTTAACAATCTGATGTAATAATTTGGACAAATAAACAACGATAATAATAATAATAATATTAATAATTTAAAAATAACTAATTTTGCTCGAATAATTTATTTTGTTATTTTATAAAAACAAAAAGCTGCTACAAATCATGTAACGCTTTTCTGTACTTGTATTATAAGCAAAATAAAAAGAAAATCTAGAAAGATAAATTGTATTTAAATTTTGCTTGATGTAACAATTATTGTATTCTTTATTCAAAGAAAATTCATAAAGGTATCTTAAGATTTGTCAATAATTACGTAAATGTGAACTAAATTCTGAGGAACTGAAAGTATCAAATTGCTGTTAGAGCTTGTGAAATTAAAATAATTAACCAATACTAAACAACAGCGCAAGACTAAAGTAAATAACATATATTTCTTCTACCTACTGTTGAAAATAATCATAAACCCTAGGCTGAGATTGATGCATTAAATTATATACATATACATACATAATATACATATTTAAGCTTATTTACCTAAAAATACGCTTAGATTTTTAACTTTCCCATTTTTAACTTGATGTACGACCTATTCTCTGCTTGAAATTTATTCTAAATATTTCAACCTTCCTTTTGCGGCAAAAAGTCATCAATTTTTCCCTCTCGCTGGGTGTGCTTTTTTTGCAAGTAGCATTCCTTCAAGTACGAAATCATGAATCACATCTGAGAATAACTCCCTGACTCAATATTTCAAAGTACGTTCTCAGTGTATAATACGAACTGCCGGGAAAATTAATATGGCACGGCTCCAGATGAGCGCCCATTTTTATGTGCCTAGCTGTGCCTGGAAAGGTAAATGAGAAGAAAGGAAAAAGGTCATAACTCATTACATTGTGTTACGCTGGACAATCTCGACACGGATCTTGCAAGGGTACATTACATGCGCTGGCAAAACATGACCAGACATGTCTGGAAATCCAAACGCACGCCTCTTTGAAACACGCGGTACCTGTGCAACGCGCGCGGAATTGCCAAGACTCGCGGTGCCGATAATTTGTACTTAATTATTTTGGCCATGATCGCCAGAGATTGCGATCGAGAATAAAATAACATTTCGCGGTGGCGCTTCCTGCACTTAAAGTGCAAGGCACGTCCGACGAACAAGCCATACCCTTAATCGGTTTTATTAGCATGTACCAGAAATAGCACCTTGCTTAATTTTGTATTCACTTCAAATATTAAATTTTATGATTTTTTATTTTTATTTTTTAAGCTCATAGCTGCGATTTTGAGACGTCTCAAAAATTCTGGCTATATTAAAACACGACCAACAACAATATAAAAATAAGTACGGAATTTTAAAGAGATAAAAAAGTGGCAATAAAAGTGTCAAGGGTGTTAAGATTTTGCATAATTTACATTTTACAATTATGTACTTAATTAAATTCAATAAATTTATATCGATATATAATAATTATGTTAAAACATATTTTTTAAAAAGAGTGTTTTTCTTTAATTTTAATCGAATTTTTTTCCGATTTTTCTGTAGACATAAATAATGATAATAAAACATTTAAATTATTGAAATTAATAATAAAGTTTTTTATACTCACATAGAGAATTGCCAAGGCCTGTACGATGCGTTTGGGGCCGCACTCGTATTCAGGGTGCGAGCAGCAACCCGAGTCCTCAGCACACCTGTGAAGCTTCACACAATTTGGGGCGTACCTTCGCGAGTGGCCAGGCAGAAGATTGCTCGCTTTCAGGCATCGCACCTGCGGGACCTTGCAGGAGTTGCCGCTTGCGATTTCGTTCAGCAGGCTGTATGCGGCCTCTGGAAAAGTTAGGATCTAATCAGCTTACACCAATTTTGTGAGAATAAAAAATTAAAACAAGAAAAAAAGTTTAAAAATAAAAGGAAGTGCATAAAAATCACTTATTTATTATATTTGTATGGACTATTATGAAATTTTGTCTTTACTTAATTGTTAATTAATAATTTTAGAATTAATATTTATTAAAATAGGAGGCTCTTATTAAACTTAATTTCTGATCAGAAACAAGATTTAACAATAACTTAACGAAATAATATAATCATCGTTCATCTAAAAATAAGTATTCTTTTATGTTAATTATAACATTGATTTTAAGTGAATTAAAATTGTATCTAACGATTAACTGAAACTAATTCTAATTAATTGGATAAACTTAAGAATTCAACCAATGTGAACACAAAGGCGATAATAAACTGTGAGTCAGCTCATTTGCCATTTTTGTTTTTGCAGCAGCTCATGTTTCCAAAAGTTTTATCCTCGCTCTTTATTTTTCCGCTCGCTAACGGGTTGAATGGGTGCACGCATGAAATATGAAATGCGGAGCCAGCTGGCGAGAATGAGAAATTGTCCGGCACGGTCGCCAAATTGAGCAATGAAACCCGAGACCAGTCTCTCAAATGGAAATACAGTAATTCATTTTTGCAGCATCTGGAGACCGGGACGACTTGCCGGCCGGCGCTCCATTGAGAAAAATAGCGCGAGCTCGGCCAAAACTTGTTTTGCACGTCTCAAAAAGTGCCGCCGCGAGAGAATAATTGATTGCGATTTTCTGCAGCTTTCGGATGACATTCCCAAAAGAGTGCTTTCGATCGTTACCCAACGATGATTTACGTTGTTTTGCAAAAATATTTTTTCAAACAGGATTTCTAATCGTGCAGGTTTTATAACACACTTTTGGATTCTTTTGATTTACATACAGGATCCTCTCTATGAGAGATTTGTCCCATCCTACATATAAATCTGGCAGATGATTTGTGTTGTTGCAAAATTCCTGTGTTCTTGTCAGATTATGAATAAATTAGGAAAGAATGCAAATTTCTTAAGTGTGGAATTTCCTGCTTCGGCTGATGACTGAAAGAAAAGGAAATTTCAAATAAAAAAACACCCTCCGCCAAAAAATCTGACAGCATTTTTCTTTTTGCATTAGCTTTGATTCTTCTTCCATCGAGCACTCGTTTGGTGCTCCTCCCTTTTTTACGTTTGTAAAAAAATCGTTATGACCCGCACACACTCACTCGCAAACAAAGAAAAGCACAATCGGAGCCAAGAAAAAAAATAGACGGCGGAGGGGATCGTTATTCTTCGCGTTCCCGGTAATCAGCTCGGCGAGCTGGCAAATTATTATTTTATTGTTGGCGGCGGCGACGTGAGTGGATTCTACTTGAGGAACCCTTATCGCCGAGTTTCATCTTGATTGTTATGCAGACTGCTGTCTGCGCCTGCAAATTTATTTAATATTTTCGTCTCGAGTTGCCTCTGGTTCTTCGTTTTCCCTCCTACTTCATTTTCCGCGAGAAAAATTAACGCACGCAGCTCATCGCGCCGCTTGGGAGTTTTCAGTTAAACTTACGCAGGAGAGGCCATCCAGCACAAAACTTTGCTTCCTCGTTCAAACTTCACTCGAGCATAAAACGACTTGAGCGCAGAGTGCCCAGGAAAAACTGCTGGAGGGTGAAAGGAAACTAATCGAACGCTTCAGGATGAATTTTCCTCTAAAATGATTGTCTTAATTCGCTTTAAAATTAAACCTACTTATAATTTACTGGGTTGATTTCTTTATGCTTATTTAAATTAAAACTCAATTTATTTATTTTACAATTTAAAAAGTTATCGTTCATATTAATATTTTTCAATTTATAAGTGTTTTTATTATGCTTATTGATATTTCTCTTAATATCATGTATTTTTATGCTTTGTGGAAACCGCACCAATCATTAAACCTATTTAAACTTGTCGCTGGTTTATCACAATATTAAATTCTGGCATATAAATGACAATTTAATGATTTAAAAAGGTCGTCAACTACATTTATTCAAAATTCTTAAATTTAAATGATTTCAAACTCAATATCTGCTACTATCATCAGTAGGAGCATAGTTAACAACAAGATTTATATAATATAAACTTCAGATATGAAATATGAAAAATTTCCTCCAAATATATGCAAAGTGAAAACAATTGAAAATTCAAAAATTACCTAATTCAAAAATACTGCAGCAGATTTTCAAAACTACTTCAAGTGAACCAAAAATTAGAAGAAAAAGAAGTAAAATATTTGACTGCGTTATTTTAAGAATTTTTACATAACTCTTCCTTGCAGACATTGCGGAACTTGAGTTCCCGCGTTGCTGCGGTACTCGTATTGTTCCAGGGGTGGAAGCGCAATCTGCATGAAATATGCAAATGGGCAGGATCCTGGCGCAAAATAATGCCGCGTTTGAGTGAGTCATGGGGGAAATCTGGACCCGGAGAGACGTGTCACGCACATTCCTCAAGCGCATTAACTCTCATTCAAAGCGGCAATTTGGAGCGCACAGTATGGAAATGAACGTGACCACCCAGCTCGCTTTTGTGTCACTCCCTAGCCAACTGCTGCTGGCTGCGCGAATTCGCAAAATCGACTCCGGCTGCGGCAGATAACTCACAGTAGAAAAAAAGATGTGCTGGTACACTTAAGGCAATTAACTGGGTGCTCACTTAGCACTTGCGGACTTGAATGATAGTCTTGATGAGCACAAACTTTTACGTGCTGTGCTTTTGCCCTCTTAAAGCGTGATGAGCGAAAATTGAAACAAGCTACGAGACATAAAGATTTATAATTAACAAAGAACTTAACGTTTCAGCATAATATGATATTCAACATATCAACGCAGAATTTAATTAAATTTGCTAAATAAATAAAGAATTAAATTACTACATGTTGTAATTAGATATTCTCTAAAATAATTCTCTCTGTTGCACAGGTTGCCTATATAAAATTTGATTTACTTTTGCTACTGAATTTTCATAAACTTTGTTATTTTAAGAAGATTTGTATCATTTTATTGCCACCTTGTAATATGAATTGAAATTAAGTAATTTGATAAATGTCGTATAAATATTTAAAATATTCCAAGAAATGGAATTTTATATAGTTGAAAATTCAACAACATCCATTTCCGATGTGTATTTAATACTGAATAAAGGCATAAATTGTAACTTTGCTAAGCTTCAGAGATTTTGTAACTTGAGAAATGAGATGGAAATCAATATGCGTTTGCAAATGACGCAATTAACCATACCTTAGTTAAATTCCCTTCTGCGAGACTGCCTAGCTGTTTTCATTACGGGCACGTTCGCAGCCAAGATATGAAAACGCAAAGGAAGCTAGATGGAGTGCTGGTGCGCTGCGCACATAACGTCAAAGGATCAAAGTGTCCCAAGTAATGAGCAGCCGACTATAATTAAGACATCAATTATGCAGCTTTCCAGAGAGAGCATTCATTTGCCTACGCTAGGAGAGATGATTGACCCTTTTGTCTGCTGCGTGCATTATAACGTGTCGCCCGCTGTTAAAGTCTAGGAAGTGATTTCCAAATTGTTTCCGAAAGGAACGCCCCTTTTGGGTGTGCTGCCAGGCCGCGTGAATTTGTGCGGCTTTTTGAAGTTGTTTTGTGCCAGGCTTATCTTTCTCTCCTCCTCTCGCTAGCGGTGCATCCAAAACCATTAGTCATTCTCGGCCGAAATCTACATTTTGATTACTAATTTCGGGCCTTGAGGCGAAAGCTGATGCGAGCTTTAATGAGAAAAATGCGGCGTGTCAATATGCGCCTCGACAGATCGTTACTTCTGACAGATCGTTATTGGACACGTAGAGATGAGAAACGAAAAGTAGTGCTTTTGTAACTGATCTTCAATCTGACAAAATGACATGGATGAAATTATTTTACTTGATATAAGCTTCATATATATAAATTGCTGTTTTATATTATGATAACATTTAAAACTAAATTAAAAGATAGCAATTTGTTTGTATTATTAGTTATAAAAATTTTTTCATTATTTTTATTTATACTTACAAAAAATCTATAATTTTTTATCTAAATAATTAATATTTTATACAATTTTTTTTTTATATAAGTGCATTTTTAATATAAAAAAATTTATTTTTTTATGTTTTTAAAGTATGTGTCTGTTTTTCCTATTGAATAGATTGAACATAGCATTACCTGTACTATGCTGCTTTCTATGGTCTCGTATAAAATTTACGTTAATAATTATTGACAATATAGTAAACAATAACAATAATTCCTAAAACCATGAAAACGGTAAAAAATTAAATAAATATATGAATAACATAAAAGAAATTTGCGAAAAAAAATAATAAGGACGATTCCCTTAGCGTCCGAGTCTAACGTAAAGCGGAGAACAAGGCGGAACATCTCTAAAATTTGTTCTACACGCGCACTTAGATTCAGATTAAACAGATCTCGGGCGCACTAAATCACTCTCACGCCGCGCGCTCTCGTGCATATATATGCCCTCGTAAAAAGGACGCGCAATCCCCGATGAGCACAATAAATTTCACGATTTAAGATTTTGATTGGGCGTGAAATTTACGAGGTTTGTTTTGGCTGGAGCGCCAAGAGAAAAGAGAGACCAGCGCGGCGATCTCTGATAAAGAAGCTTCTTTCCTTTTCGCTCTTGCGACGCGCGAGTGCTTTACATTCGCGTTTATTTTTTTCTGCAATGAAGAAAGAACGAGACACACCTTGTGCTTAACAAACAACAAACAACAAAGTAGAGTCTCTTATTACTGCAATTTTTTTAGCACATTCTCAATGTGATAAAATTTAATTGTGATCTCGTAGATAATGAAATAATTTCAAATTCAACAATTTACATTCAATTTCAATTTTTAAACTGGAGTTATTAATCTCGTCATCATCAGAAGAAAAAGGAACTTGATATATTAGTTTATATTGATTGATTAATAATTACAAAATATTTATTAATATTTTAATTGAGGAGAATCCATTTTAGATATATATCAATGGCTGTTTGAATTTGAATAAGGAATTAAATTGAATGTCAGCAATGGCCTATACAAAGATAAACTATCAAATTTGATGAGCCAGCGTATAACAATGTTCTGCAGATAGTGATCCGACTTCCTAGCTCTATTTTGTCCAGATGGTAGGCTGGGGTATAGAAATTAAATTGTGCCACACACGTTCTATAAAACTTGTTGCTAATAACCCCTTCGCTTGGCCTTGACAGAATCTTGGGGGGCGGCGCTCGCCATTATTTCGGTGCAGTTTGTCTTGCCGCTAATGAGCCAGTCGCTAATTTGCAAAGCCTCGTTTCATCTCTACTAACGCCTGTCTAGCCGTCAATCGTGACTTGCAAACTCTTTTTGCCAATTTCAAGGTGTTCGATTTTAATCGCGCGCAGACGAAAGTAATGCAAAAAAATTAAAATCTTACAATATAAATTTGTGAAATTGAATAAGCTGGAATAAGCAAAAGGAAACTTCTCAATTGACTTCAGCAATTAACAAATTAATCAAGTCTAGGAAGCAAAGTGGAAACTTTTCGAAAGTAGTTTCAGATAGTTGTGAAATGAAAAGAGAGTAGATTGACAGTAATTACATAAGAGAAGAAGAGGGCATGCAGCTCGCTTTAATGAGATGCACCGCGCGCGCGTCTCCTCATTAATTATCTTTTGAAGTTTTGTGCCGCGGAAAAATCCAAGACTCATCATTCTCGTTCGCCTCTCACTTTGTGTGTGTGTACGTTGGTTTACAAAAAAGACTGTAATTAACAGCATGCTTGATTAAATTTCATGCTCGACAAGCGACTAGAAATGTTTTCCTTTCTTTCTTTTCTCTGTAATTTGCCCAAGGTGAACGGAAAACAGGCGAGAGAGGAATGAAAATAAAAGCTGGCAGAATTCATTCAAGCGTTCGTTACGAAAGAGTCGAAATTTGTCTGTGTACACAAGCCATATTCGGCGGACAAAGGCAGAAAGTGACAAATATCATCTTTCTGTCAGCACAGGGATAAAAGTAGGCGTGAATGCCACGTGGCCGAATCCCATTGTTCTCGTCAGACCTGTCATAAATAAATCCAGAGCTCCAGCCTCACACGTACAAATACACACGTCTCTGCATTATGTAATACTCAATGAGGCGCCGCACACACCAATAACAATGAAGCGAACGATACAAGCCGTTTGGCCGCCCAGATTGATAAAAATTATTTCGTGCTCGCTGCAGCTAACAAGCTCCAAGGCTTTCAAAAACGCATACCTCATGAAGATCTTGAAATGATCAAAAAGGTTGAGATCGCTATTTATAATTTTCAATCATTCATTAATTTTTCTTTTCAATATTTCTAATTGTTGGAGACAAATGTAAATTAAATTAAAATATATTTATTTAAATCACCAAAAAATACAACTTGCTTTTTTTCTTTGTATAATATTAAAATAAAATTTTTTTTTTTTATTTAAAGAAAATAATAATTGTCTTCACTGAAAAATATGAAATTTATATTTTATTAATTGGTTTTATTTAAATTGTTTCATGAATTTTTTCGTCGTGAAAGAGTGACCAAAACTGGAAGGGTCGTTTCGTTTTTAATAAAAAAAATCTCAACGAAGACAAAGCCGATTTTCTTCACTAAAACAAATTTGATTTATTTTCTAACATAAAATTGATTAATATTTTTTACCCTTTCTTCATTTAATTGGTCTAATAAATCTATAAAATCAACAATAAACTCCATTTATTTTTCACTGCATTTCCTCCTTACCACTCTATATATTTTTTGTGTTGTAATAAAGGATTCTCTGTTGGGACCAGCAAGTTGCGAAAAGTGCCGGAAAATGAGGGTCTCGAGGGTCGAACGGCGACCACTGCCGAGAGACTTGCTTCCAATGAAAATCAGGAACAAGTGAGTCCGCACTGGCCACTTGAGGTGACGAGGGAGCAGCTCTTTCGACGCAACGAACTCGTCGAGGTGGTCCAGAACAAGAGACTTTCTGCTCGTTTGCCCGAGTAACGAGCAGCGATTCGCCAGACCATAAAGTTAATATACATGCGTGCTCGATTTTTGAAGCAAGTGACCCAGAAGAATAATGCAAAAGAATAGGCACTTGCCCGCCAGACGACCGTAAAATTAAAAAGAAAAAAATTCGAGACATCCGAAAAAAAATACTCTTGGATCTGATTTTGCAAAGTTGATCTTGCTTTTTGCAGCTTTCAAAGTATGTTGCGCGAGATATGAAAGAAATTACCATGCGACAAAAAGTAGAGGCTCTCCCGCGTGCAGGAAGAAAATTGCACGAGCATAAAAATAAAAAATCGGCGAGACGCTGCTGGGTCTTTTGGAAAAAAATGCCATTGGCTCGGTTTGCTCTGGATCCGGCGCCGCTCTCGGCGGCTTAATTAGACAAGCTGCGAACGAGATCAAAGGAAATAATTAGGCATAATCGGTTTAATGAAATGCGCTGTGGGCCGGAATGGATCGACGAATGGAGACGCGCAGTGCGGCTTCTTTTGACGCGACAAGTGATCCGACCAACAATTCTTATAGGTCAACTCGCTGAATGGTGATTTATCAGACCTCTCGACCGCAGTTCTGCGGATCTGTCCTTATTGAAGCTCTCAGCGAATTCATCGTTAATTTAGCTTGAGGAAAAGGCAGACTCCAGTTCATAGAATATCTTTGATCATTTTAAAATTTTCCTCCACGTCATTTGTTTGTGAATTGCCTCAGGAAGAAAAGTTTATCATTTAAATTATTCCACGCAAAAATTAAATAACTATTTTTAATTGGATTTCCTAAGGTTTTTAATTAAAAACATATAAATATTAGTTTTGGTTTCAGTCACTCCTTATAAATTTAATTATGTAAAAATATGCAAGAAAAATCAATATATTGCTTTATTTTTCGTCCCCTTTTCAATTCAAAATGAATGTATAGTTAATTAAAATGCGCATAATTAAAACATTGCACTCGGAAAAGAATGCAAATAATAACACATATGCAAATTTCTGCAGAAATGAATAAAAAAACAAGTCGTTTTTTCAATTGGAGGTTTGTGATTAATTAATGCACACTCACGCTTGGCTTCTTCCGTATTCCTCATGGTCCTGGCGACAGCATCGGCAGTTCCCAGGGTGTTCCACTTGACGGCGGTGAGGTTCTGAGAAGGGTTCTGGTCCATCTGCTGGTTGTCCTGCAAAACAAATCGGAAGACGAATTTATTAGTCTGGCTGCTGGGAATCAGCGGCGACGAAAACTAGGCGAACCCACAATTTAACAATCATAATATGCGAGGCGCGCCCCTGGTGCTCAGACTGCCCGCCTGACAGACGGCTTTAGTGTCATAATGTGGAGGAATATCGTCGCTAGGAATGAAATTCGTAAATTATACTACTCCGTCGAGGAGCTCTTGATTCAAAAGCCGTGTTCGTCTGTCAAGGAGCCTCGTCCAGCTCGCTTTCGTAGATTAAGCAAATTTCTCTCCGTAGTTAATTATATGCATATATATTATTATGTGTAGGGATTTGTCTCGTTTGACATGACTTGGGCAAATTCTAACAGAATTTTTTGTCAGAGGTTTGACTTTTAAAACATTCTTAATTGTTGAAAGAGAAGACAATTTTTAATAAAAATATACTTTGCTTAAAACAAGCACTAAAAGTGACTTTTAATAATTGAAAATGAAATGAAAAGCCAAATTTTTATGTTTGGTGTTCACAATGTAGAGTAATTAAGAATTAAGGAAAACTAAAATTGTAATAGATTATTATAGGTAAAATAATTTTTAAAATTTAATTTAATAAATATCATCATTATTTTTTCTAAAATACCGATTTTATCAAATTTTTATTTTATTTCACATGAACTTTAAATTTTAAACTTTAACTATTTTCGATTTATTAAGTTTCTTTTGATTAATTTTTAAAAGTCACGAATATAAAACTATTCTTCTGTTTCCAACGTTTATTTAAAAAATTATATTCATGATGTATGTACTGAACTACAAATTAATAATTACACAAATTAATTAATACGTCCAACTTTTCTTGAATAGAATTGTATTTAATGATTATAAAGATGAGAAGAAATATCAGATATCAGATCACAGTTAAATTAATTTAAAATACTTAATAAACCGTTCATAACATGCACACTATCTGAATACAACTTTCGTCTGTAAATTTTACTTTTGATATATTTTTACGAGACAGTATGTCCTATAAATTTTTATTTGACAACTTGTCGCGCACTTTTTTTCTAAATGTGTCATAAATTTATTTTTGCGATTATTCCACGAGCAGAAAGGACAAACGAGCCTCGTAATTTATCGCATCTAATTAGAGCCATGAATCATATTACGCGCCACTATATATGCGTATGTTTGCATGTTAGTGCCCCCAGTGTGTTCATTTCGTAGACTCTCATAATATAATCGTGAAATATTATGCTCTCGAGTCTGCTGAAAATTTGCAACTGTCACCGGCGTGGGCGTATTTTCCTCTGCCCAGCGCGCGGACCCAATTAATTGCCATCAAGGCAGCTGCTTTTCATGTTACATTATTATTTGACTCCGGAGGTAGCTGTGGGTTAAGGTCGCTGAGACGTCTCACGATTCCCATCAGCCCAAAAGCAACAACAATTAAATTTAATAACCTCGAGCTCGGAAGGGGACCAACCCTTTTTTCCTATTCGCTCATTTCGCTTATTCTTAATAGCGGCAAATTGCGACGACCCGTGTAATCATACGGAGACGCGAACGTGCATTGTATTTAATATTAATCAAAGGCCGCATTAATTTATTATATTCCCTTCTCGGTGGTGCGCGCGGTCGGAGCGACTCTGCCAAACCACACACATTGCGTACAAACAAGCAAAATAATTTCTACGGTGCAATTTCGCACGCCTCTCGCAACTTGGAAATTAATTTTGCCCTGCCGGCTTATTCACATTCTTCACGTTCTGAAATTTCATTGTGGGGTTTAACATTATAATACATTTTTGTATGGTGAATATAAACTTGTAAAACAAAGCTTAATTTAAATTTGAAATTATTATGACATTAAAAAAATATATATATTAAAATTAATTAATTGACAGAAGCAATTATTTTTGTTTAAATTCCTAAAGCAAAGTCATTTTCCTTTTTTTTTCTAAATTTGTATTGAACCTTGGCTATCAAAAACTCACAAACAGTGTTAAAAAAACTGCTAATAATGAGCAAAAAAATGGAACTAGTTAACTTGAGAGAAATATTTTTTCGATACAATAGCAATAAAACATTATGTTTTTGTTATTCTTATTAACAATTTATTTTGTATTGTGCTACAAATTTGAAGTATGACTCATCTTTTTTATCACAGACAGACTCGGCCGTCGATGTAAATAAGCCAGAAATGCTTCAATCAGAGTGATAAATGATCTGCCAGGGCAAGCAAGACACGAAAGAGCTCGAGATTCACAAATCAAAGTGTCAAAAAGGGGAGCAGAAAACTGTTTTGACTTGCTAAGGATTTCCTGTATGTAATCGAAATAAATCGACTTCAAGTGAACGAGCAGAGAGATTGAAGCTCACGCAGAGATTCGAGTTTTGTATTCATAAAAAATCTAGACCAACTGGGCATAAAATTTCAACTCCGAGCGAAATTTTCCAGCGACACAAGCAGAATAAAATTCTTGTCTGCCGCTTCCCGACTTTTTTCTCTCTCGCAGCCGGTCATTAATTACTCTTAATAAATTAAGGCTCCGTAATTAAGGAAGGAAAGGCTCTTCTTTTGTGCGATATGCGCTTATTATCCTCGTCTCTGCATGAGGGTCGAAAATTATTAAAGGGCCAGAGGCGGCAATAATTCTCCATAGAGTAATCAAGCGCATATTCAAATAGTGCCTCGCGCACTTGTCACTCCATGAAGTGTGTATGCGTTTATTCGGACCGGTAATGAGGCGAATAAATAAATATTGTCCCACAGCCGGAACGCACGGTTGTCTCATTTCGGCCGGCCCATATATCAGGACACCAAGTAATGACCTTGCTGTACCAATGAGGGCTATTCAAGACACAAAAGTGTCTTTTACATGACTCAGAAATCCGGATAGAAAGAAAATAATTCACTTTTTTTCTCTTCATTACAAAAATTGTTCAAGTAAAATTTACAATAAAAAATCCTGGTCTTGTGAAAAAAATACAAAGATCCACATTGATAATTAGTTTTTTTGAGAAATAAAAATACTAAATCTTGCTACCTTTTGTGGTAATTTTTTAAGGAATATTAGAGACTAATAATTTGCAGTAAATAATTATGTTTTAATTTTGCTTCAGTGTCGGTCTTTAATCAAACTAAAAATACAATTCTATTGAAATTTCATCAAATAAATTATTTTGTAATAAAATATAATTGCTTTATTTAACTTGATTACCGTGGTGATGAAGCTTTTGAACAAAATCGATTAGCTCTGCTTTTGTTTGTTGCAAATTATGCATTTGACCATCCATTATCCATTAGTGAGCTTTTGTTATTTTCCACATTTGCACGCAGCCGAGTTCTGTTTTGACCCACACATTTCAGGTTCAATCTGCCATAATTTCATCCCATTTCGGGCGGCTGACGTTTTTAAGAGCCCTCGGTGGGCCACCAGCTTGCGTGCACGCGCGTGTGTATGTATATTTGGGATGCGTGGTAATTGCATTATTTATTCCTCGGTGCGGGCTGTTTGTATTTGTGAGTGTGTTTACCCCTCGTGTGCACACATTGAATAAATTATGTCCCACTAAAGGACCAGCAGCGTCGAAATCGCGCCCCGCCAAATTAATGTGAAATTTTGTTTGCTCTCTCTCGGACCGCGAAACGTATGCAAGGGACGAATTATTTGCCTCCGCACGCTCCACGGATAATCACTTTTGTGCTGAGAATCAGTAATTAAGCCGCATCGCATCGATTTGTTCTGCCGCTGACCTCTCGGCCATCTGTCACACGTTCCCGCCCCGATACAATTCGCACTGCTTTATGCTATTTGCGAGAGGCAATAATTGAATTTCCCACCACTGCAAAATCCCGCGAACGTTACGATTTGCCGCTGCGCAGTATCGTTCGGCGTTTGATAAATAATTAGGGTCATTCAAAATATGGACATTTTTATTCAATTTGAATTTCTATAACCAATATTCTAAATTGATATTTACTATACTTTACGGCAAAAAATTTTATTGCTTATTTTGTAAAGTTTCCTCAAAAGATGAAGTAAAATATAAATTTTTATCTAACTAAATAAAGGAATAATTATAGCATTAACCCATTTAATGAATTAAAATTTTAACTTAAAGAATGCAAAATATTAAAAGTAAAAATTAACTGTTGTAAATTATTTAACTTACACATGACCTTACTTATCATAACGATTGGTAATTTCTTGCAATAAGTGTTATTTTATTAATTTATATAACTTTGAAATTAACCAACAGCTAATAAATTAAATACACTTTCAGGACCATTATTTTTTAATAAACGAAAATATAAGCTTTCAAGTTCATAAATTTTCCTCTCGCTAGTAAATTTTTAATTATTCCATGGACAGTGGCTAATGGGAACGAATCGGCCTCAATGGTTCGGAGCAGCCGAAATTGGCAAAATTTATCATCGAGATGGGGATGCAATTTTTCTTGTTAACATTTTGCGCGGCGTCGACAAAGAGGCAATAACTTTGCTGTGCCGGTTGGTGCGAGCGTGGAAAATTCAATTTAATCCGCAATTACCACCGCGGATGGAAAAATTTTTAGAGCCCAAATCTGCCGGAGAACAATTGCAATAAATAACTTCACGCGCCGCCCGGCGTGTTATGTAAAGTAATAAAATCTTGGCTCGGCGCTGCGGTACTAAACAGAAAGTAATGCGCGCACACGGAAAAACAAGGGGTTGTGGAATTTAGACTACAGATCTGGAACACACAAAAAGTTGAACTTTAGTTGGAAAAATAAACAACAATAATTGTACATAATAACAATTTACATGATAAACGCTAAGATTGTATCAATTAATAATGTTTATCATTTTTTCTGTGATTTGATTGAGTCGCCCTTAATTTTCATAATTATACATATTTAACATTTAATTCCAATATTTTTTCCACCATTCACATATCCAAAGGAAGATCAAACATTTTATACTATATAAATGTTCTTTTGAAAGATTCCATTAGGGA